CAGACTTGGTATATCAAATTTATATTTTGGTAAAATCATTTTGACTACAACTAATGTTTGAATTGCATGTAATGTCAAGCCACTTTATATAGTTCTTGTGCTTTCAAAAGGTAAAACAAGAAGTGAAATCCTTATTCTCACACACAGTTGTTCCAGATACAGTTTCTAAGTTGAAACTACACTTCCCACAGTATGTTTTAGACCTCAGTGCAATTGTAAAAAAACATTCATATTTTAAAACTCATTTAACTGTGCAATGGAGGAGCGTCCACCTAACCTTCAACTGGAAGTGATTATTCTGCAATGTAATAATGGTTCTAAGGCAAATATCAAGAGATGACTCTAAAGGAATTCTATAAATGCCTTCCAAGTGAAGAGTATGCTTACTTAAATTAAATTAAAACATATTCTCATGTATTGCTATTAGTATATGGCAGTACCTAACTGTTTGAGGAGCCCTCGTTGTACAGTGGTTAAGAGCTCGGCTGCTTACCAAATGGTCGGCAGTTGGAATCCACCAGCTGCTCCTTGGAAACCCTATGGGGGAGTTCTGCTGTGTCCTATAGGGTCTCTATGAGCCAGAATCAACTTGAAGGCAGCAGGCTTCATTTTGGGTTAACTGTTTGAAAAGGCATTTTCAAAGATGAAGTACATACAATCTCATTACTGATCACCATTAATAGGTAAATACTTGCAATTGTTTTTGGTGACAAGAAACACTTTCTTTAAACCCTAATAAGTAAAATTTTATTTCCTCCAAAAATTCGATTTTTCTCATTATTCAATCTGCATTTCAAAATAAAAATTGTACTCAGTTATTATTATTACATTTTGAATTTCTTCAATAAATTTTTTGTGGAAATTTATTTTCTCTGTTATTATATAATAGCCTACTTAATATTCTTGATATTATCTTTGGCCTGCAAAGCTAAAAATATTTATTTTCTGCTTCTTTACAGAAAATGTTTGCTGATCCCTGGTCTAGGTCAAGAATCTTTAGGGACTCGGCCTGAATGAAAACAGCATAACTCCTCTGTGGTGCCATTTAGGATGGAGCCCTTTAAGGTGCAAGTAACTGATCAAGAGGCAAGGTAGGCATCTTTGGGTGCTGCACACTAGTTCATGGGCATGCCTGTAGAACTTTGCAGTTTTAGTTGAGAGGCAGATGAATTTTCAAAACAGAAGTGGATGAGATTGTACACAAATTCTCATTTTACAAACATCTATCCTGTGTTTTCTATATATTAAATATTTCCTTAAGGACGAAGAGAATCTATGCTATTTCTCTAGAATCCATAATGGAGCAAATATTAACAGGAAAAATGTTTTAATAGCGCCTCATGTGTATCTATATATATTTCTTAAGAAATTTTCACTCGATGGGCATAGAGTAGATGAATATTGTGAAGTTTTAATTATTACCTCTTTTAGCCATGCAAATATTGCTTTTAATGGACAATTTACTAATTACTGTGAATAAAATTTCTAATTAAATATTTAGAGATGACAATGGACTGGAATCATTTGCATGCAGGCTATGGGGTGTCATGTGGGATGGAGGGAGTAAAAGGGACCCAAGAAGTCCTCACCTCACAGAAAACAGACTCTGCAAGAGTGATAGAAAAGGGGGTCCACGGTAATTATCTGCACTGACGTAATATGGGAATTAAGTATGCAGAAAGAACCAATGTGTGTTAGGTAGACAAATTCAACCACTGATGGAAAAGAAAAAGGTGAATGAAAAGAAAGTAGCATAAGGCATTTGACGAGAGAGCAACATACAGGGGGGAATGATATCCTTAGAGGCAGCAAATTAGTGAATGAGAGAAATGAGAGCATAGTATGTGTATGAATAATAGCCGACATAAGGCTAATTTCCAAAATGTGAAGATAACTCATATCTCTACTTTCCCATTTCATCATCCTGACACCAGCTACCCATATGACACTTTCTCTCTCTGACCCTAATCACCTAGAGTTGGGCCTCTACAAGTTAGGACTCTGTCCTTCCAGCTCCTGCAAATAGGGAAAGGCCAGCCTCTCTGCTGGATCTCACTGCCCCTAGTGGGTTCAATAATTCACTAGAATGACTCTCAGAACTCACAGAAACTATTACCATAATTGTTGTTGGTGTTAGCTG